ATGGAAAATTGTTAGCATTTTCCGGATAAAGGGCGAATAAAAATCATCCTCCGTCTAAATTTTCACGAGCAACGTCGTTTCAACCGAGTCGACGATTTCTCGATATTATTTGCTCTGTCGCTTTTTCACATCGACGGAGCAAGCACGCCAGACGAAATTGCTGGAGGTAAAGGCGCGTAATTCAATTGCTCCTCGGTACATCGACGGGCAAATATTTTATTTAATCGTGAGACAGGGGAAACGGCTTAAACGATTTCCGACGTTTTTCGTTACTTTCCATTCGCCGGAACGACGAATTCTCGTCTGAGAAGAGAGCTTCGACAAAATTGATGAGATCGCATTAGCTTGGTCGAAAGCGGATTGTATACAATCTCGGAATGACTTTTCGCGATAGATCTTGACGCTCGTTTTACGGCTTCCTTCACCTCTCTTCCTTCTGAACGAACATCTTCCGGCAGATGCGCATTTTGATGGATATCTAACGTGACAGCGTATCTTTTATACTACAATAGCGGTCTGTGATAAACGATTGATGATATCGCGAAGACGATCTGACGAATTTGTCGAAACTGCGCGGAACAATATTTCCTCCTGCTGTGCTCGAATCACGTCAATTGACTGGAGATACTTGAATAGAAATACAAATTGTGTTTGTGATAAATCTGGCACGTGGTTTCAACGAAATAACGGTCTTAACATTATCTAAAACTTGCCATGGTCGTTCTTGATTTGCAAGAACAAGATATACGATTATGAGAAGTGATTAAAATTATTTAGGGGTTCATTTTATACGGTCCGCAATCTCACGGATCGTATAAAAAGATGTAGAATTGACAAACAAATTGTCATTGACCAGATATAAAAAAAAAACTAGGCGTATACTCGAAATATTAGAGTAAAGTCTAATAGAGTCATCAATTTTCCAAGTCTTCTAAATGTTTCCCTGTTTACGTTCTTCCAGAGAAGTTCGATATCGCCAGCGGAACGCGAAAAATACAGTAGGCCGCGATCGCCCGATCCCCAGCATCACGATCACCTGCCACTGAAGAAGATGAAAAAGGAACAGGACAAGGACATAGGCCATGTATGTATCTAGGATGGTTCTCCATGCTCTCCTATTAATGGTATGCCTTAATAAAGCCGTACACGTTTCCCCCGATAGCAAAGCGATGGTGAAAAGAGCGACCAGGATTTGGTGGTAGACGATGCCAGCGAGGGACCAACGAGCCCGACGGCGAACGGCACGTCGTCACCTAGAGAAAATGGCCTCGACAAACTCGGTCCGTCATCGGTGCCTTTGAGCAGTCAGGTGAAGAAAGAAGTGCCACCACCGTCGCCGAGAAGTGGTACCAGCAGCAACGCGAGCACACCTTCGGCTAAGAAGATGGAGGAACGAGAGAAACCTACCACGCCGATCTCCAAACCTGTCACACCTACCTCTGCAGGTGTTTATCATTTTTCTGCTAATTTCCAAGCATCGTAACAAGTGGAATTATTCAGTATATGTTTCCTCTTTCGGAAGAAGTATTTTATTTAGACTTTCTACAGTCCTGTAATATTGCAAGAATTGATCCACCATTATGTATCGTTAGTCAGTGCCATTATCCAAACTAATTTTCTCAATTTCAAAGTAATTCTAGAAATGCCATTTCAATCGGATAAACGACAATTCTCGTTCCCGTATTCTGAATTTTCGTGCCAATCACGCTGATGGAAAATACTTAGCAAGTCTGACGATGAATATATGGTCGACAGGTGGTAGCAGCTCCGGCTCCGGTGGTCTGAAACCATCGAGTTCCAGCAAACCACTGGTCTCGGCTTCGGCGGTCGGCCCTTATCCGCCACACTATCCGCCGCCACATCATCCACCCGCAGGACCTCATGTGGACGTGCTGGGTTATCCCCCGGCCCTGAATGGATATCCCGCAAGACCGCCTCTTCAGCAACTCTACGATCCTCACGGAAGCATGAGGGCACCTCTTGGACCTCTCGGTGTACCCGGTGGCAAACCGTAAGTGCTTCTCTCCCACCTGGTTGATGAATTTCTTCCTTCAGAGCTTTAATCTTAACACGTTGAAACTTTCGCTGGGGAATTTTCAATAGAAAGTTTATATACACTGTCGTCGATGTACCAAGTAAATTACTAACAAGAGTAAGAACGTTGTCTCATCCCGTGTAATATGCATGTTTAAAGAATTGAACTTCTTGGTTTGTCGTAATGAAATCGTAATTTCTGAGCAATCTCTCGCGATGATGGCTTGTTTCAATCAATCTTGTCAAATTGCTGCAATTGATGATCTTGAAAGATCTGAAAAATCTCGTTTCCAATCTTCCAGACTGTGTTTTTCTTCGTATCAAAAAACACAACCAGCAATTGTTGAATAATCCGCATAGTTATCAAATAATGACACCATCCTACGTTTTCTCGTCATCACGCCAACCGTACAATCGACGATTATTAAATAATCCACGATCTAATCATTCAAATAATCCCGGTCCATCATCTCACTCAAATAATCACGCGCAACAAAGCAAACAAAGACGTCGTGAAAATCACGTCGGTCAGCTCGTCCATCACGGAGATCGTAAACTACCGCAATTACGGGAAGAAGAAAATGTGGCAATAAAGTTTCTTTGTCTTACAGGGCGTACAGTTTCCACGTATCGAGTGAAGGCCAGATGCAGCCGGTTCCGTTCCCTCACGATGCTCTAATTGGACAAGGAATACCGCGCCATGCGCGCCAGATAAATACCCTGACACACGGCGAGGTAGTGTGCGCGGTAACGATCTCGAATCCGACTAAATACGTTTACACCGGTGGCAAAGGATGCGTCAAGGTCTGGGACATCAATCAGGGTGGCGGCGGCAGCGCGAAACACGTTTCGCAGCTTGATTGCCTGCAACGAGACAACTACATCAGGTTGGTTAAACGTTACGTTCGCACAACGTCGCATTAACTTTCCACACCGTCTGGCAAACGCGAGATTCGCCGTTGAATAAATTCTGATTAGTGTGTCTCCTCTCGCGTCTCCACGACCACCATTGCGGTCTCGTTTGCCGACTCGCGATACGTGTAATTTCGACCTTTCGAGAAACTAGTCAAGTCACTTAGCTTAGTTTGAAACGATCGTCGACCGACGATCTCCGCCTCTTATCTCGGCTGCCAGCGTTAATTGCTTGAAATTCAATGTATCGGGACTTCCATTTAAACATATTACATCCCCCGCTATATTAAACGCTAATGATCAACCTGTTAATTGATTATACTGACTTTATTATAAAACGTGTGATTGATGATAATCCGTTAGTGAAGTTGCTATTATTTATTCAGCGTGACTATTAAGAATTTAATGATGGAATTTTATGCTCCATTCGGAGCTCGTTAATTAAGAGCATAAGTTAATACGGTGGAAATACACGAGCGTCTGATGACTTATTCATGAAAAGACGAATCGATAATTATTATCTGTGTTAATAAAGTTGAAGGCTAATATTATCTTTGCAACTGGATAATTTTAATTATAATTATATGCTTCTTCCATCGTCTCCGTTCCATTGCGTAAACTAATGCCAACCTTCTCTTATTAAACAGGTCAGTGAAGCTATTACCAGACGGTAGGACTCTGATCGTCGGCGGTGAAGCAAGTAATTTAAGTATCTGGGATCTGGCGAGTCCGACGCCGAGGATCAAGGCAGAATTGACTTCGAACGCGCCAGCGTGTTACGCACTGGCAATCTCGCCTGATTCGAAAGTCTGCTTCAGCTGCTGCAGCGATGGTAACATCGCTGTCTGGGACATACAGAATCAGTCTTTGCTCAGGCAATTCCAAGGTCACACGGACGGCGCATCCTGCATCGACATCTCCGCAGATGGCTCGAAACTGTGGACCGGAGGATTGGACAATACGGTGCGCTCGTGGGATCTTCGGGAAGGCAGACAGCTTCAGCAACACGATTTCACATCGCAAATATTCTCGCTCGGTTACTGTCCAACCGGCGAATGGTTGGCTGTCGGAATGGAGAACTCGAACGTCGAGGTGCTGCACGCCACGAAACCGGACAAATATCAGCTTCATTTGCACGAGTCTTGTGTACTTTCGTTACGTTTCGCTACTTGCGGCAAGTGGTTCGTCTCAACCGGCAAGGACAATTTACTGAACGCGTGGCGTACACCGTACGGTGCCTCGATATTCCAGGTAAAATTTGAATTCGTCTCTCCTCGACTAGATGTAAGCCGCGGATCATCGTGACGAAGCCGTTGATTAAATGTTAATTAAGTTCTGGATCGTACGTTGTGATCTAGTTCCGAGAATTTCTCGGAATAAACTGATAAATTACAATAGAATAATTTCTAATTTTTAGTTTCATCCAATAACAAAGTAATTTCGTTTCGTTGCAGTCGAAGGAATCTTCGTCAGTACTCAGTTGCGATATTTCAACGGACGACAAGTATATCGTGACTGGATCGGGTGATAAAAAAGCTACGGTGTACGAAGTGATATACTGAACAGTCAGCTGAACGATACAATTTCAAGATACTGGATGTTGTCATATGTGCTACGCTTTTATAACACTGGTGCATAGAAGAGATCAGAGATAAAACTTAGAAAAAATGGAAGAAAATGGGAAAAAACTTAGAGAAAACGGAAGAAGCCTGTTCCAAGATAATATGCACGGAAGACTCAAATGTCACGAAAGTCGAGATTTTAGAACGTGTATTATGAGAGGAAACTGTCTTTTTGTGAGTCTGGGACTGATACATTTGCGTGTGTTATATTTGTTAAATTTGAAATCACGCGCGCAGTGGCTTCCGCGCTATTTCAGAGATAAAAGACCAGAGGGGAAGCTGCCGGCCGAACTGAAGTTACATTATATATACATATATATATACATATATATATATACATATATATAAAGGTGACAGACGTTTAGCTACTTAAGATTGTATAGAACGTATAGTTATAAATAGGCCAAGACGACGGCATACGATTATGCCGATGATAAATGGGACTTATATACGTGATAATGTTCGCTTGGATAATTGTGATCCGCGATTGTGTTCGACTTCGAGGCGAGAAGTCGCTTGTGTAATATGTTACTAATGTAATATAGAGTTTTATGATAAAAAGTATCATTACGTGCGACTTGTGTGCAAGATGCAAGATGAAATTAACATTTTCACCGCGCGTGATGTCCTCGTGCTTTATTATGGCTGACGAAAGAACGAACTGAGATGCCTGAGACAGGCAGATCAAAAGAAAAATTGTATGTACCGAACCACAACACACCATCTAGCATATAGATCTGTCGAAGTAGGAATGTGTGTGCCGTGTTGCAGAATTCTACATAAAATATATCGAACACACAGTGTGTAGGAGCAGGAACGTTTTAATTCGAGGATAGAGAATACGTAGGTCTGTATTGAACCGATGTAATTTCAATTGTGCTAAGAAGTGTAAAGGAAGTTGGGTTCTTGCATGACCCTCGATATTTCCATTACGAAGAGAGAGAGAGAGAGAGAGAGAGAGAGAGAGAGAGAGAGAGAGAGAG